AAGAAAGGTCCTCAGGAATGGTGTTTTACTTAAAAATGACATGTGGGCACAGGCAGATCTACGGGAGGGCGGGGGGAGGGCTTTCAGGCTGAATCTCCCTCTTCCTCCCCCCAAAAAAGAAAAATGTAACCATGTTTTATGAAAAAAATTATTTCCAAAAGTATTATTGTTAATCTAATTACATTTAATAGGACTTCAAGAATCACTTAAATACCATTTCATGTAGGTAGTTAGTTTCTTTCTTTCTTCCGAAGTAATTAACCAAATATATACATACAACAAAAATCTTTGGGTCTGAAGCCCCCTCTCCAAAAAAATAAATCCTGGATCCATTATTGCATCTGGGTAGTTATGATGTTGCTTTAACCCAACTCTAATAACACGACCCTCCCTGTTGTAAATTTTGAGATCTCGTTTAGGAATAACTTGCCAACATGATGGAATAATAGGGATTGTTGTGAAGCATAGAAATTTTCAGAAAATGTTTAAAACTTTTACCATAAGAAGAATAGACAAATATGACCCATTGTCCTATAAAGGATTAAGACATGCTGTAAGCGCAGCTGGCCATTACACTTTATGAAGTTTTCATATGTTATATTTTATTGATTTAAATCAATTATTAGTTTAAGAGCAAAATACCAATATTATTCATATAGCATCGAAAACATATTTTTCAGAGTTAGAATTATAAGCAGGTTTTATTCTGAATTGACATAATTTAATAGTCCAATAGCTCAATGCTGAATGTTTCTGAAGGCTAAGAAGTGATAATGGAAAATGGACTTAAATCAGGCTTAATATAATGCACTAAGTAAATTACTTTATGAAGAGAAGAATAGTTGGGGTGATCAGTCAAATAAGAAGGCAAAAATAAATGATACTATTTATTTTGACATTAGCCGACGTTTCGACCTGAAACACGGTATGAGAAACATAAGTAGTGAAGGTAAAAAAAATTAAAGTAAAATTCAGTTGTTAGAATAATGACAAAAGTAAGAATAGAATATGTTAAAGTAAAATTCAGTTGTTGGAATAATGACAAAAGTAAGAATAGAATATGTTAAAGTAAAATTCAGTTGTTAGAATAATGGCAATAGTAAGAACAAAGAGATAAATGATAATAAGCAGTACAAATGATGATAAACAGTGGAATGATTAAGTAAACATAATAAAAAAAATTTAAAAAAAGGTGACATAAGTATCAAAATGGGAATCTTAGAATAAAATGTAAAAACAGAAAAATATATGAAGTTATATAAGAAATGGAAATAAACAGTAAAATTAAGATATTGTGAATAGAATAGTTAGATAGAAAATTGAGATGTTGTAAAGTCTATCAAGATGTACAGACAACGTATAATATAGTAAAGAGTTAAAACAGAGCGGAGGGATGAAAGGAAGGAGGAAAGAAACTTATGTCATCTTTTTTCATTATGTTTACTTCATCATTCCACACTTTGTACTGCTTATTATCATTTATCTCTTTGTTCTTACTATTGTCATTATTCTAACAACTGAATTTTACTTTAACATATTCTATTATGTTAACATATTCTATTCTTGCTATTGTCATTATTCTAACATCTGAATTTTACTTTAATTTTTTTTTACCTACACTACTTATGTTTCTCATACCGTGTTATCTGGTTCTTTTCTTAGCCCTGATGATGGCTAATGTGATGGATGAACGTTGGCTAATGTCAAAATAAATAGTATCATTTATTTTTGCCTTCTTATTTGACTGATCACCCCAACTATTCTTCTCTTCATAAAGTAATTTACTTAGTGCATTATATTAAGCCTGATTTAAGTCCATTTTCCATTATCACTTCTTAGCCTTCAGAAACATTCAGCATTGAGCTATTGGACTATTAAATTATGTCAATTCAGAATAAAACCTGCTTATAATTCTAACTCTGAAAAATATGTTTTCGATGCTATATGAATAATATTGGTATTTTGCTCTTAAACTAATAATTGATTTAAATCAATAAAATATAACATATGAAAACTTCATAAAGTGTAATGGCCAGCTGCGCTTACAGCATGTCTTAATCCTTTATAGGACAATGGGTCATATTTGTCCTACTTGAGAAGCAGTATTAAAAAAATAGAAAGCTTTTGGTTAGTCAATATAGAATTGTTAGACATAGTGGAAAATAAAGAGATGTCACCTGGACAAACATACAGTTTGTATGTTGAGTTAGAATTATAAGCAGGTTTTATTCTGAATTGACATAATTTAATAGTCCAATAGCTCAATGCTGAATGTTTCTGAAGGCTAAGAAGTGATAATGGAAAATGGACTTAAATCAGGCTTAATATAATGCACTAAGTAAATTACTTTATGAAGAGAAGAATAGTTGGGGTGATCAGTCAAATAAGAAGGCAAAAATAAATGATACTATTTATTTTGACATTAGCCAACGTTCATCCATCACATTAGCCATCATCAGGGCTAAGAAAAGAACCAGATAACACGGTATGAGAAACATAAGTAGTGTAGGTAAAAAAAATTAAAGTAAAATTCAGTTGTTAGAATAATGACAATAGCAAGAATAGAATATGTTAACATAATAGAATATGTTAAAGTAAAATTCAGTTGTTAGAATAATGACAATAGTAAGAACAAAGAGATAAATAAGCGGTACAAAGTGTGGAATGATGAAGTAAACATATTAAAAAAAGATGACATAAGTTTCTTTCCTCCTTCCTTTCATCCCTCCGCTCTGTTTTAACTCTTTACTATATTATACGTTGTCTGTACATCTTGATAGACTTTACAACATCTCAATTTTCTATCTAACTATTCTATTCACAATATCTTAATTTTACTGTTTATTTCCATTTCTTATATAACTTCATATATTTTTCTGTTTTTACATTTTATTCTAAGATTCCCATTTTGATACTTATGTCACCTTTTTTTAAATTTTTTTTATTATGTTTACTTAATCATTCCACTGTTTATCATCATTTGTACTGCTTATTATCATTTATCTCTTTGTTCTTACTATTGCCATTATTCTAACAACTGAATTTTACTTTAACATATTCTATTCTTACTTTTGTCATTATTCCAACAACTGAATTTTACTTTAACATATTCTATTCTTACTTTTGTCATTATTCTAACAACTGAATTTTACTTTAATTTTTTTTACCTTCACTACTTATGTTTCTCATACCGTGTTTCAGGTCGAAACGTCGGCTAATGTCAAAATAAATAGTATCATTTATTTTTGCCTTCTTATTTGACTGATCACCCCAACTATTCTTCTCTTCATAAAGTAATTTACTTAGTGCATTATATTAAGCCTGATTTAAGTCCATTTTCCATTATCACTTCTTAGCCTTCAGAAACATTCAGCATTGAGCTATTGGACTATTAAATTATGTCAATTCAGAATAAAACCTGCTTATAATTCTAACTCTGAAAAATATGTTTTCGATGCTATATGAATAATATTGGTATTTTGCTCTTAAACTAATAATTGATTTAAATCAATAAAATATAACATATGAAAACTTCATAAAGTGTAATGGCCAGCCGCTTACAGCATGTCTTAATCCTTTATAGGACAATGGGTCATATTTGTCCTACTTGAGAAGCAGTATTAAAAAAATAGAAAGCTTTTGGTTGGTCAATATAGAATTATTAGACATAGTGGAAAATAAAGAGATAAAACGGTTAACCATTTACCAATTATAAATTACTTTATTTGTGATTTATTTAGAAACATCCAACTGTTAATTTGAGAAATTTCTAACTGAAAGAAATTTGTTTGCTTAGTGTAGTTTGATAAAGTTTAATCTCTCAATAGTAAACTAACCATATCATCTTTTTTTTATGTACCTGCTTAACAGTTCCCTTAAGATATTCTCTTGTGATAAAAATCTAGCATGAATGCTCAAAATCAAATTAAAAAACAATAATGACATTTCTATAGTTGTTAAACTCCAGAAACTAAGTTAATTTCAAGTAATCCATCCATTTTTATCAGTTTTGCTTTTTTAAAAAGACTGAATATTTTTTATTGTTGGACAAATCTGTAACTTATTCCAAATTTGCTTATTTGTCTGTGACAAGGTTTGAATCACATTTGGATAAATTTCATAGAAAATCAGAGATAAAAAATATTATTAAACCAACTTCAAGAGTGACATTATAATCATCTAAAATATAGAAGACAAAATTAATAAATGTTAATAATAAGGAAGCAGGTTTCAGCACATCAATTTTTTTAACTGATATTTTTCAGAGTTAAAGTCAGATCAATTAGAACCTAGACAACCAAAATAATTTTTTTTTTTTTTTATATATAATAGAAAGGAATTTCTTCTATTAATAATTATTTATTTATTATCTCTTAATCGATGTTTCGGGTTCTGACTCATCTTTCAGGACAATTATTTCTGTTTATTGGTAACAGTAGAAAGTAATTTCTTTATTTCTTTGTAAAACAAAGCTTATATTTTTTAACAAACGAAATACCATCTCTAAATAAACCTTCTATAAAGGAAAAATAAATTTTAAGTAAGATTGTAGAAAATTAAATTTATGAATAAAGTCGTAGAGAAGTTTAGTGAATGAATGATAAATTCTTTACTTGCATTTCTTAAAATGAAGATTAGACTAGTTCAAACCCAGTCAGCAATATTTTAATTTTTTTTATTTGAATCAGATAAAAGGTTGAATTTCCAAACCTTGAAAAGTATGCATTTTTTTGATGTGATATGATTATTGGTTTGTTTTTTCTTTTCTATCCTAATGATGCATACATTGGGAAAACACTGAAGGTTTCTTTTTTACCTGTATTTTGATTACATAAGGCTGTGTGGTTAGATTTTTTCCAATTATAACCGAACATTGAAATTCTGTCTCTTCATGAATTATCTTGTTTACATTAAAAAAATTTATGTTAAGTAACATAGTGAAGAAATTAATTTACTATATGAATGGAATGTTAGGGATTTATTAAATCAAACAAAGAAACTTAAATTTGAAAGAAGTTTATTTATTAACTTTGTATAGACTAGCTGCTAATAGTAGACTTCTATACATAAGAGGTACAACAACTACTTGACAATCACAGTCAAATTAATTGAAACATAAATATACAATAAATAATATGATGCTTGCTTATTACAAATAGTAAGTAATTAAATAAGAAGAGAGTACAATAACTATCTAAGGACAACTAGACTTAATTAAAGTACGGAATACAAACTTAAAACTTGCTTTGGAATTAAAATGAAATAATTTTTTTTTTAATATTTCCTTTTATAAACTGAGCAACTTAAATAATTAAAGTGCAATAAACAAAACATCACAGGAATATTTAAACACTTCCTCTTATAACTTAATCGACTTAACAATATATAAATACATTTCAACAAATTGAAATATAAGATAAATTAAAGATAATATTTTAGGAAAATACTGTTGAGATTAATGGCTAACATGGCTAACAGGGTATAAATATGACTAGTCAGCTCAATAATAGCTGTATGTATTTCCCCGATCAGTATGTACGGCTCGTAACCTGCGATATGGAACTGATACTTGTGGTTATATTATTCGTGATGTATGATTGTTATTTGACAATAAATAATGAATGGTTTATAATAAATATTGTAGAGGTAGTGGTAGAGATGAGCCTGAGGGCAGGGAATGCAGGTTTACCAATATCTCAAACCTTCGAAGGAGTTTGGTCCAGAACCATATGGGCCAGCACCTGAAACATTAAGAAGTCGCATCTTCAAATTTACATATAGCTCATACACTAATTAATAATTATTTCAAAATGAAATTTGATGATGAATATGAGTAGTTTTTTTTTTTAATTTTCATTTATTAATTCGCACCTGTGGATAAAAATTATCAACAATCAGGAGGTGGGTTGGCATAATCATGAAATGAGAAAAAAAAAATATTTAAGAGAGACTGAATAGGCATAAAGGAAAACAGTAGTAGGCGGTAAACCTTCTATTTTCCAATAGCACTTTTATAAGTCCATATGTGTTCATTGACCATGACACCAAGTAAGACATTGTACAAAATCTTTGGTACAAACATACCATTGTGCTGGGGTAATTATTTGAAGATATGAGGTTAATAACATGTTCATTACCTCTTTTTTATAAAAATAAATATAAAATAAATATAATTCCATACATCTATCAAATTTATAAATATTTTAATCTCGTTTCATCACATAAAATGCCAATGCAAGATAATTTTATTATAACAGGAAAAGATGTAATCTCACTAATAAAAGAGAGAAATTAGAAAAATATTTTAGAAATAAAATTACCAGTAAACTTATAATAAATAAAATAGAACTCATTCTGTTTTATATTCAAACAGGAAAAATTATTTGTTCAGTAATTTTTACATTTATTGACGTGTTAGTAAAGTACCTTTTTTCTTTCACATTAACCTGTTCAATACCATTAATAAATCAATAGAAAATTTACTACATACACAACTTTTATGAAGTTTGATAACTTCTCACCTCTAATTTCTATTTATGTTTCCAATTCTCCATCCTCCCCTCCTTTAAAATGACCATTACTTTATGCTCGGCATCCATTAAGGATGCGTCCAAAATACGTTTGGCTTTTTGCAATGCATCATTTGCTTGTTCTTTTGTTCCTAACTTGTGAATAACCGTTTCTGTAACACCTTCTTCATGGTTTCTTCGCAGGCTAAGCTGAGCCTTAGATAACAAATTTCCAATGATTTTTAAGTTGCCTAAGTTCTGTTTGCTTCTTGCTACAGGATGCATCTTCAGTGGCAATAATTTTTGACCTTTGAAAAGATTTTATAAAAATATATTATCTTTTCTTTGCTCATTTCAGTCCAGCTCATTATTTCAAACAATTTAAAACTGTTTGAAACTTATTACTGGAACATGTATGATATTTTACTTCTATTTAGATATTTGAAACTGTAAGACAAGTTAAAAAAAAGAAGAATTCTTTTAATTAAAAAAACATTCAAATTCAATTTTAATAATGGACTGAAATATGAGCTTTTTCAAATTAAAATCTACATATTTTTTTAATTATTAACAGTCTCGATAAAAGTACTATTTACTTTCTTTATATTTACAATGTGCATTCTGACCAAACAAACAGTTTGTTTAGTGTATGCAGTATATACATTTTATTTACACTTAATTACATTTGAGCTGTTTTTAATTCAGTACCAGTTTTCTCTTATGATATTTGTAGAGCCATGTCACAACTCGACTTCAGTTTATTAAATATCGAATAAATCATAATGGTGGTTAAATTTCAACTATTTTCGATATATATTCTTCTTATCAACCAGATCTCTTGATCTGAATAAAGTGTCTAGTTTTTTATCACTCAATCTGATCAAATTCATCAATTAAAATGTCTTGTAAAAAAATAAAATGTTATATTGGAACCATACTTCATCTCATTATAAACACATATTCTGTAATTTTATTGTTTACTTTCTTTTCTCAAGAAGATATAAATAAATTTAATCAATCTATAAGATATACTGATATTTTGCAGTTAAATATTTTTAATGTTTTCTTGATACTGATCTTCTTAGCGCCTTTCCTTTAAATTTAACAATGGTTTTCTGATTTCATGTATTTTGGTAATATTGCATTAAATTGCTAAATTTTGAGTTAGGTGCGTCTGTAATATGATTATTTTCAATGTTTTTGGCACTATGAGGTAGTTGAATCAAAATATCATTATAATGGACTTTTAGTGCTGAAGAACTATACATATCTTTCCTGATGGTGATTTCATATGTTTAAGTAGAAATAATACAGTGTAGCCATTGTATACCAGTTAAATTCTTTTATTTATTGCATTGTGAATTAATTTTATACAAATCATCTTCTATGCTCTCATAATTTCTATATTCACGTATTTAAATACCGGTTTTTATGTTCTTTTTTTTTTTTCAATGGCAGGATTGAACAAGAGAAAATCTGCACTTCAGGTCACTATAAATATAACTATAACCTGGTCCAAGGACAACTTCATCAGCTTCAGATCATCAAGGTAAGATTATTTTCACAACTAGATTATGAATATGATACAAATAATTTTCACCTTATATTACTAAATAATTATATACAAGTTTTTATTTATCATTTTTAGTTCTAATATATTAATCAATAAATAAGTATGTCGTTTTCAAAAGATACTTAAAATTTATTTTATCTGAAATTGACCATTTCTTTAAAGTGATTCAAAAGTCAGTCTGTTTTGGTTTTTATCAAATTTATATAAAGAATCTCTATATTTATTTGGAAAACCTTATGAATGATACAATTTATAAAGATATACGAATCAAATTATCACAATTTTAGTACCTTTTGATACATTACAATTGTTTCAATAAATATTAAATTGTGCTCAAGGAATAGTGTCATAATACAACTTATTTACTGCTTGTAGTTAATTTCTGTGGATTATTTTAATTTTAATTAGTTAAGACTGTACAATGTTTTTAATTTCATCTACAAACATTTTGAGCAGGATTAATTTTGTTATAAATTCAAACTTCCAAGAATAATTGTCTTATATAATATATATATATATATATATATATATATATATAATTATTTTTGAAATGATCGGTATTGTCTTTGTGTCTTAAGGTACTCCTCCTTAATGATACCTTAAAGCCAGTTCAGGCTTTTAGGTTTCTTGTTCAAATTCTTGAAAAAAACTCACCTGATCAAGACACTTATAGTAAACGTGTTAGTCCACGATACAGACATTTTTGAACAAATTATTAACATCCCTTTAAAACCTATTATAGTCTACAACAGAAGAAAAGGTGGTCTGCAAAAATAATGGGGCTGTTAGCCTGTATAACCTTATTATTTTGACATACTTGGGATGGAAGTCACTTAAAGCCCCTTTTTGGAAGTCACTTTTTTTTTGTGATTATTTTGCAATTGAAGTAGAAAGCAAATGGGTATTCCTGAGTTTTTAGTACCTCTTTAAATAGACAAAGTCTTACTGGTCTCCAGATTGAAAACGTCCCATTTCCGAGAATTTTCGCAAATATAAAATTTTTAGATTACATTAAGAAGAAGCCATTCCCGAATTTTAAAATGAATGTTAATAGTTTGATTATAAGGGGCCTATGCTGTTGACTATGTTTATTATCATCTTGGTGATCTGTGGTGGTTGAAAATTAAAGTACTCGACTTAAATGTCCATTTAACTGTTCAGAAACTAAAACTGTCTTAATAAATTAAATTTTGCGTTGATTTCGGAAAAGTTAAAAATGGACTCCTGTACTCATTAGACGGCCAACTGATGAGATTGCTTTGTCAACTACATTACTATATCTAATGTTACTAATAGAAACAGAGGACATTAACGAACCGAACCTTCCTGGGAACTCTCCAAGTTCAATTAGAACGGGGCGAAGGCAGAGGGAGCCACTAATTAGATGGCGATATAGACAGTGCGTGCGTTAGTCAGTCTTGATAATGCGGTTTGGGGGACCTGTCACCGCAAGGAGGACTGAGTAATTGGGTCCCAGTTGCAACAAATCGACAGAAACATCGATATCTCAGCTGTCTAGTGTATAGTTTATATAGTGGGATAACATGTTCGATAACATAATCGATTCTGGTACTATTAGTATCGAACATCAGTTGGTTCTGTTCCAGTTATTGCACAATCGCGTTTTATCAGGGCCTTGGAAGCAACTTTTCAAGGTGCTGAATTTCCATGTATTTATAGTTTATATTCAATTGAGCTAACTTCGCTACATTCAAACCCTTATAAGTTGAACTTAAAGTGATGAAAATTTAATAAAACTTAAAAGTTCAAATATTTGAAGCAATGATTTTATTGAATTTTTCTGCGACCGAAATAATATTCTTATCCACGGAATTTGAGTTACATGAAGATATTTTCACACGAAGTATACATATAAATACTGTAGTGTTTTTAACAATAGCCTAGCCAGCTCAAAACCGAAATGGGGTTTATTATATATTTTTTTAAATGAATAATTAATTGATTTAATTCGTTGCTGTTTTATTTAAAAATTTCCGACGTTGGAATGGGTGGTAACTGCTTCACCATTTTCTCCACTACTACGCGTTTAATTATAATGATTGTTAAAATTTTCTGTATTTCATAATCTGAAATAATTCATGATATACTATAAATATCATAAATTGACCAGTGATAACTAAATAATTAATTTCTGTTCAAAAATATACATCTTAAAATATATTTTGGCAACTTAACTTTTTCTCAAGAAAACCATGTAATTTTCATAATCGACCTCTGGAAGCCACTGATAAATAAATGGAATATTGTCTGATGCAAATTAGTTTCATTTAAAATTCTTTAAATTATTTTTTTTTTCATGTTTATGTTGAACAATTTGAGAATTGTATGAATGGAAACAGAAGAACAACACAAATATTCTATAAATAAATAGTTGTATGTAAGAAGAATGAAAAAGCCGATATAATTCGATAGGTATTCAATGATTTTTACTATCGATAATTGCAACTCATTTAAGCTTTTTAGATTTATGCATACATTTTAAAACCAGATGGTTGAAATTTAAATGTATCCATTGTATTTGGTTTATTTAATCTGTTAATACCATCCAAATCTCTAATTATAATGTAATATGTAAATTTGTATGGAATTAATAAATTTTAATAATTAAATTAATTAATACAAGGTTTAATATGTATGCATATTAAATGAATATTGAGTGCGTAATCATTAACATCTTACTTTTCCTTCGACATTTCCCATCAGAGGTGATATCGATAGAAGGACACAACTCGATGAGTCGTTCTCGGGGACAAAGATCGAGCCAAGGTCCCCTCGATGTAGAAACCACGAGACCGCAAAACATACTTTACTCCCTGGCTATACTTATCGCGCTAGGTCAACTAGAAACTAGCTCTGACTCCGTAATTTGGTGTTTCAAAATATTGCCTATTAATATGTGGCACACGCCTCGATTAAAATCGATTTTATTTGAATAATATTGAAAATTTTACTTGCAAGTACATCCAAATTTCACAAGGTTCTGATGGGAACTAAAAACTTAGTTATGAAAGAATTTTTAATTTTATAAAACTGCTTTTTATTCTAGTGAGATATAATTTATTCGACGTGTTAGCGATATCAGGGAAACATACTTATTCGTACATATAATATCATGAAGATAGTCTATACAGTACACAAAATTGACTGTTAAAGTACGAATTTACTTAATAACTTTAATTAATAAGTTTACTAATCTGGCAATAATACACAATTACCCCTGAACTATATCAGTCATTTCTGGTATTTGTAGGTCTTTGTAATGTGATTTATTGGTTATATGTAGAAGGAACAATGAGTGATATACCGGAGAAATTTAGATTGGAAAATTATCTGTAAATGTATTTCTTTGTATGAACCCCACACCTGAGAGGCATAAGCCCATATTGGTCTGTGTAGCATGTTTTAATAATTTTGTTAGAAAGTGATAGTTTGTTTTTATGGTCTTGCATTCGTCTTAGTAGTGACAATCGATGGTTCAATCCCTTTTTTAATGTAGTCAAGTATGATTTCCAGATCAGTTTTCTGTCCATTGTGACTCCCAAATATTTTGTCTGTGTATGATTTGGTAAAGGGATGTTGTAAAGTGTCAGTGGAGAGCAATCCGAACGTTTAAGTGTAAATGTAACCTGATTTGATTTTTGTAGAAATGTAATTTGTCGTAGACTACCATAAATAACAATATTTAAATTTTTGAAATCTAAACATTTGATAAGTATACAATGGCAACCATCTCCCCCCCAATACACTTTGGGGCAAGAATTATTGAACCTTGAAACTACATTTTGGGCTTTAAAAGTTTTAAATTGAATCAGAGAGGCCTGAATAGTTTAAAGAAAAGAAAGAAAGTTATTGGTGTTCTCGTCAAAATCTCGAAACGTCGACTTTTGAACCCGCCTGAGTCTTGAAACTTCTCAATTTCTTTAATGACTTTAATTGTAGTTCAGGAAGATTTTACGTTTTTAAATTGTGGTTCGTTACTTCTTCATAGCATTCCCTTTCGTTTAATCATCAGAATACAAAGCTTAATCATATATATCAGAATTCATAGCTCTTGAGAGCCGAAAATTGGATCTATAAGTACTTCCGCGTTGTATATGATATAGATTAATATCATATGCTATGATGAGTAATATCATATCATTGTATATGGGATAATATACGCGATTGCACATTAGACAATATTGCTGTCCTTTGATGTACGCTATCGAATGATCTACTCGATTGGACATCGTCTTCGATGTAGCTTAGTTATGGTAATCGATTTCAAACAAGGATATTAATAACAAATCTTGAGAACATGGGAATAAAAACAACTTTCAATTTTTTTTCTCAGAATAATTTATATTAAGGTGTCATTATAGCACAAAAACTTTATTTTTTTAAACCGTTTTAAGTTGGCTCATATTTAGTTCCATGGTGTTATGCTCATGAATTTGCCACTTTATAGTATTTTAAACTAAATCAATTCGCATTTTTTTTTTTCTATAAAATATTTAAACACAGGTTTTGAACTTAATTTCAAGAATTTAACTTCAATTTATGACTTGAAAAGGTCTTTCAATGCTGTATTATATACATATACATATATTATATACATCTATAATATATATTACTACTATTATATGATTTGTCCAGTTATTATATAAGTGAAAACGTCTTGGAACTGTTACTCACGAGATCTGTTATACACGAACGGTCTCTTGTGATATAACGGAAGGCGGACTGGGTCAGTAACGACAGTGGCTTTTTATAATCTATTACAAAATCGAATTGTCAGGCGTTTTTACTATAATATTGAATGATTCTTAATGTCAAAATCATAATAGATTAAAAAATCTCTCAAAACTATATCAGGTTTGGCCCAGTTTCATCATTATTATCGATGTGGCTAAGGATTACGAAAATATTTTCATTATTCAGCCTTTTATTATTTTCTTTCTAATTTATGGAAACCAAGAAATGTCTTAAATTTTGAAATAAAAAGTATATAAGAAACTAAAGAAATAATTCGTATTACTTTCACTCAGTTCAGAAAAATTCATTTGGGAAATACGATTTTACTAACATTTTTTACCTTTTTATAATTATTCTAAAATAAAAGAAATATTATCTTTTATTTTCATTGTAATGCATACTTCTTTCTCATAGTTTACCAACTCAAAATAACATTTTTGATCATAAATAAAAATTATGATTTTAAGAGATTGTTGTGTCACTCCACCCCTGCTTATAATTTGGAAATCTAAAACTTTGAGAACTTATTCAGAATTGCGAAAATTGTTAATATACATTTCTAATGAAGAGTTACTAAATATTAAAAATAATACCAATATTTTTAAGTTAAGAAATTGAGATTTTATCGATAAAATGAGTTTGAACAGAAAATAAAATAATTTTTAAAAAATAATAAATGGGACAGATAAGCGAAAAGTTCAAAACAAAAGAAATTTACAATATTAAAACATCTCTTTGAAAAGTAAATACATCATATATTTTTTTTAAATTAAAGTTCCGAGAAGTATTGAAATATTTTTTCTCTCATCCAAAATTGTTTTAGCAACATCGCTTGTATTTATAATCATATTTTCACTGTAGGTGCAGTTATTTTTTTTTTTTTTAGTGGTGTCTATTAACTAAATATAGGCCTATTGTCGTAGCTTATATATTCAGTGACTTAGTGGTCTGAAGTGTTGTGCTTAGTGAGTATGTGTACTCTTTTATACAATATATAGTGTACTATATCCAAACCTCCTTGAGTGCTAGTACACCAATGTACTCTTAAAGTGCTTGGTATTTATTTACTTACCTCCACGGCTGCCTGGTGGGATGAATCCGTATCCAGAAGCTCCGATACGAACTCCACTGGTCTCAGATCCTCCAGAAGTTACAGGGAAGGTAACTGGTCCTAGAAAACATTTTTACTGTTATGCTATTATATAATGTATTTCAAAAAATATATATATTTTCTTTCTTCATAATACTCCATTGAATGTCAAGGCTAAGGATGGAAGGAGGATAAAAAAGACGTGACGATGTAGAGGAAGTCGAGGTCCTTACGAAATGGCATAGGTTGGTGACCTCTTAGGTTCAAAGTCAGGGGCGTTTTCATGGGCATTCGTTAGCTGGAGTCTGCTGTTTACATTTTTGTTTTTTTCTGTTTACCTTTTTTACGTTTTTTCTGATGTTTATATTTATTATACAAGTATAAATATATCACGAAGGGATAATAATATTAATTGGGATCGTAATAATTTACAGACTTGAACTAAATGGCTTAGGTTTGTAATTTCATACAGAAAATATTATGGCTTAGATTTCTTTAAACTATCAAAATTCAAGAGGCCTGCCATTTTTAAACGTTTCGGGAAGGAAATTTGTTTAATTTATTAAGTCTTATAGGCAACAATTATGATTATAGATATATATTTTTTAATGAAGTGAAAACTTCTTTAGGCACGTTTTGCACTTTTTTGTGGAGACAGAATTAGATTGATCCGTCAGATTTCGTTCGGCATTAACGTTCGGATATAGTCGACTAATTAAAATATCTCAGGAACTATAAATCGGGCCTGCATACTGTAAGCGAGGGAATTATTCATCATTTCATCCCTTCTGTGATAGGCTATAATTCACAATGGTATCTTAACGCGACGCCGTGTTAAGGAGGCGAAAAGGAAGAAATAGTTTTGAAAATCAAATGATAAGGTTAGTTGAACATATGGATTAAAATATTTCAGATACCAAAAATCGGATCTGTGTACTGTAAGCGAGGAAAATGTTCAGAAATTCATTTTTTTTGCAATGAGATATTGTTTATAATTTATATTTCATATTATTAATCTTTCCTTGTTGATGTTTTCACTTTTATAGTGTGGTCTAAAGCACACACCTTATTTTCCCCCTTAAATATTTGTATTTTGTTTTTATTAAAACGAGGCAATTTATTTATTTATTTTTGTGAAGAATTGCCAACTTACCCCTGTTATCCCTTGGGTCTCTTGGACCGGCAGCTCCGAACCCGCCTGGGTATCCTCCGAAGAAGTCGAACTGTGCTGAAACAGCGACGACGACGACGGCAAGGCAAAGAGCAACCTGTAACAATAAATAATAATAATGTAGCAATAATATAATAAATTTAATAATCCTAAAAAACACAAAAAATAGTATTTGCCAAAGTTTCCTTCAATCACGTTTACAATTAATATTAAACACAATGAAAGCATTATCCTCGAATATCTGTAATTAAAAAAAATTGAATCGATTCAGTCAGATTATTTTAAAAAATATTCCTTGTTTACAGTCGGTAAATTCGCCTTCTACAGAATTAATGGCATATTAAGAATTATCACAACAGTATATAAAACGTTTTAGTGAAATTTACTCATTAAAAATCTTTTCGTATTAATCGGATTGAGAAAGACGCAACATTTGAGATTAACAGCTGTTTTAAATAAATAAAAGCCCAGCTGATCAGAAAAAACAAACAAAAATCAAAAACCAAAATACATGAAAATGCCACAAAAATACAAATAATAAGAAGAAAAGAAATAAGAATAAGTATAAAATAAAAAATAAAAATACATATCAAACGAAAATTTTCATGGAAAAATGGCTGATCACGAAAACTAAAAAACAAAACAAATTAGCTAGATTTAGGAGACTTATTCAAGATGTTCAACGTTCAAGAAAAATAGTAATTTAGGTTTCTACTGTCAGTCCTTAAGTTGATGTACAGTCGCGATCATGGAAATCGTATCACACAGTAAAAATGTTATTAAATTTCATTTTATTTATCAGATTTCTATCTGAAAGATCTCCGGATATTTCTTCGCCTGTTTTGAAACGATGTCCTAAAAGCGATCGTGCCAATAAGCGGTAAAATTGTTGTTTTTTTTTTTTTTTTTTGTTATCTCCCAGTTGCTTTCTTTCACTCCACGGTGCTTTTTCCCCACTCCAGGTCATAATTACAGGTTTTATCCTGACATTAGTCAAAACTGAACTGAGAAACTTTGTTATAGTTTTCATGTAACCTTACTAAGTAAAGATAAACAAAAACATTCAATATAACCAGCGCTATCAACATAAGAATCAAAAGAAATAGGTGATGTGATTTCTATGTCCGCGACTGTACTTTATATTTATTTTTAATACATAATACAGAGTTAATTATTTTTAAGGGTTTGGTCTTCGTTATAATAATAAACTATAATATTAAAATAATAAAAATTTACTTTCCATCGAGTACTCAAACTGACATGTAGGGGATTCACGACGTGACATTAAAATTATCCCACCCCTTGATGTATTGCATTATTTCCCAATGATCTGTTAACATCGGTTTGTTGGCAACCACGATGCAGTCTGGACCACAACATTATATTTGAAGATCCAATAACCTTGACATATTTTTTTTTGCGTTATAGGCTACTTTCGCAGATATTTTGGTCAGATCTTCATATATTTTTTAAAAAATTGTAATCCTTTTAAAAATATTAAGATTATCCTCTTTGATTTCAACGTTCTAAGGGACTTTAATCGTCAATAGCTCTTTCGGGTTGCGTAAAAAGATAAGGCTTCCAAATGGCTTTAAGACTCAGCGTACTTAATTCGCTAGAAGACTTTAAAATATTTCTCAACGGCGGGATTATCAGTTTCACAACTTAAGTTTCTCCGGTCGTCTTATCGGAAACGCGCAGCGTGTTTCCGGCCGTTTCTTTAGGTACAAAACTCAGCAGATTCAACTTGAAGTTTTATAAGCATTCTCTCAGAAGATCCTCAATTAATGAATTCTCACGTTTTAAATTGGTTAAAGGAAGCTAATTTATGATTTAAATTAAGTTTCGGAACCTAGAGGAAACGACATAATATTATATTGGTGTTTTAAATATTATTGCAATCTTATCTCAAAGTGCTATCGGCTAGACAAGCACCGTAGTTCCTCGATTGTAATCTCAAGTTTGAAATCTCCTTTCGACACTTGCAATAATCTCTGATAAGATTTTGGTAACGATTGATGTAATTAAAAAGCTCATTACCTTTAATATATATGAGTCAATTAATTAGAGAAAAAAATATATATATTAAATTAAATCCAGTACGTTCTAAGGCGTATTCGTTTGAGCAATCATTTAAAATGATCCTTTTTTCATAAAAACTATCTAGCTAGGTAAGAAAGTATCGATTTTGTTTTTTATTTTTTAAATTTTGTCTTGCAAGATTTAGGAACCCTCTGGGCAATAGAGAATATTTTTTTTATGAAACTTGCCATTTCCTTTAAAACCCTTTAATTTTTCGTGTACAGTATCAAGTAGAAGGAACAAGAAAATCAATTTCAGACAAAAAGGAAATTTTAAATTTACCAACTCAAAAAATGTACATTACAATCTAAAGAATGGAAATTAAATCTTTCATACAGGAAAATCATTAGCAAATATTGAACTTTGTATCCACAGTTTTTTTTTTTAAGTATTTTTTTGCAAAGGTTCCTGGGGAAACCAGTTTTCATAGCATTCGACGTTTGCACTTGGCAAGATAGTCGTAAATGGGTACACCTGATACTTTTATAAATTTCCATCTTAACATTATTTATGTTTTTTAATTTTCTTTCCAAGCCTCTTTTTATTAAATGTATTTATTATATTAAATTTTGGTCTGTATACAAAGGTTTAAATATAGACCACAAATCTTTTGAATTGTTAAAAAAATATTTTAAACATATAATGGTTAATATAGCAATGAATGTCTTGAGCTGCTTCTGTACGGAAGAATCAAATTAAAAAATAAGTTAGTCATAAGGCTCATCTGGATTCAAGGTGACAGCAATCGTAAGGATTTGAAGAGGAGAAATCTGGAATGACTATTGTTTTAAATTCGAATTAAATGCTAATTTTATTCAATTTCATGATACGATAAAGAAGAATTTCATCTTTGTGTCGAGTAATTTGCATTGGTACGAATAAACAATGTTAACCACAAAGCGATTTACTGTTAAGATGATCTATGAAACATAAAAGGGCAAAGCTATTTATTTAAATTAGCAATTTAAAACATTTACTGTTTATTCAGTTAAAAAAAAAAATTACTGTTGTTATTGGTTACACTTCTCTATACAAAGTTATCCTTGATCTAAAAATGGGATTATTGCATGTCATTCTGTTTTAGGGAGATATTCGATCAATCGATTGCTGAGTGTTAAAATATATCGAACTCAACGGTAGCTGCACTACCCCACGAGACGACCTTAACTTCTGGTTTTGATTTCACGTTCTAGGCCAGTTTGATTTCGAATAAACCTAAATATCGTAAATAAAATAAATCTATAGTTAGACCGGTTGTGTATAAGCAGAAAATGGCGATTCGTCTCAGGATTATTCGGTCATATTCAGCTGTCATTCGGAACGACTTCATTTGTCACCGGACGTGACTTCTGTTACTGGAACAGTTAATAAATTACGAAACGTATAGCTCGGTTTAATTATTCGCATGGTTGATTTTTGAGGGATCTTAAGATGGTATAATCTTTATAGAAATCATTGTGTGTCATCGCTAAAAAAATATTTTCCATAAAAAAAAATGCGCCGAGATCTTATTTCACAACGTTTCATTGTTTTTCTGTTGGGTTGTTCGAAAATCAATGTAGGGTTCTAGTTTTGAAATAACAAACAAATAAAATATATGATTCGAAACTACTTCCATTGTTCTACGTATGTTCCATTACTCTAAATAAATTTTTTTCCAACGGGTTGTTAATATTTCAATATTATCTGATCGTTGGCCCAGATTTCTAAAAACTTCCCAGTTTTATATATTAGTGGATTCAGGAAGAGAATGTTAGGGAGCTAATAATTGAAATCTAAATCTAATTGCTGGCAACATAGATTAAGATATCGTTTTACCGAAAGCTGTCATTGATCCACCGTAAATGATACGTTGTTAACATCCAAAATTATCATGGACTCGGACCGATCTCAGGTAAGACAATGGATGGGTGACCTCCCAACGAGAAGGCTGCCTAATTGAAGACATCCTCCGTCGTCCGCAACCTAGATCCATACGGCACAAATCCAGCGGTGCGTGTATTTTTATTTACGAATTATTCTTATCTATCCTGATATTCATTTAATTAATAACATCATTAATAAAATTATTTTAAAAAAACAACAGCATTACAACGTAAAATTCAGTATGTTCGCCAGGATATTGGAAAACAAATATTGGAAACTTAGCAACCTCCTTCGTATTTATTTATATAAGTATTATGACATATGTTTCTTCAAGCTTGATGATGGGTAATGAGTATACTACCTACTGCCTGTGCTAAGGGGTAAATATTACAAACAATTCCTCAAGCCTCTCAAATACCAGATAACCGGTCAACCCTTCGTCAAAAAAGGTATCAGGGAACAACCGAACAGGTATCCGATCAGGTACAACAGGTATCCGTCGTCCACAACCTAGATCCATACGGCACAAATCCAGCGGTGCGTGTATTTTTATTTCCGAATTATTCTTATCTAGCTTAATATTCATTTAATTAATAACATCATTAATAAAATTATTTTAAAAAAACAACAGCATTACAAGGTAAAATTCAGTATGTTCGCCAGGATATTGGAAAACAATTATTGGAAACTTAGCAACCTCCTTCGTACTTATTTATATAAGTATTATGACATATATTTCTTCAAACTTGATGATGGGTAATGAGTATACTACTTACTGTCTGTGCTAAGGGCGTAAATATTACAAAGTCTCTCAAATACCAGATAACCGGTCAACCCTTCGTCAAAAAAGGTATTATCAGGGAACAAAAGACAAGTGCAGATCACAGAGAGCTCACAAAACTCGAAATGGAAATTATCACTCGCCTCTTACGTTCTAGAATTCAAACTAGAATTAATTAATTAGAATAAGAATTTCAAGAATTACGCAGATTTTTAAAAATGCTATCATGTACAAATTTTATTAACTTCCATCCACTTTTTTTATCCCACGTCCACGCAAAAATATATTTTTTAATACAAAGATATTTCTAAAACTTCTGGTACAATAAGGCCAAAAGTTAAAGGAGATTTAGAGACATATCTACAGATATTTCCAAATTAATTTTATCGAATTCCATCAACAAAATTTGTTAACGCATATATAAAGGTATTTTAATATAAAGGGGAATATTTATGTCGTACAGATTGAAAATAGCAAAGAAACTCATGAATACTCCTTATAATCAATTTACAAAATGATGCTAGAAGAAATTTCATTAGCTACAAATTAATTTTTTCATATTCAATTTTTTTATGGAAATTTACTATGAAATAACGAATTGGAACATTTATTTTGAAAATAATCGATATATAACGAAAGTGATATATAATATAACTCAGTTACAATAAAGCCACTAGTTCATGAAACAACAGAAAATCTGCTGAAAGAGCAAGAATATATTTTAATTAGGGTTTTGAAAAAAAAAATTACATTTAATAATTTTTTTTTAATGGATGCATCATGAAGTGCATTATGCAACATAATTGTTGATCGTTGGCAATTTTCTCCCATCAACAACAAAGACCGGTAGCAATTAGTGGGATGATGGAGTGGCATGCCACTATGAATCTTGTTCCTAGTCGAGAACAGTTAGCGTGTTTAATGTTCTTCTGCCTCTTTTAGTGCAATTACCTTGTCGGGAAGCGTTTCTTGCCACTTTGTTTTGGTGAACGTCAAGGTCGGCTGGAAAATGTGACAAGGAATAATCATTGTTAAAAAAAAAGTAAAAAAAAAAATAAAATTATTCAATTCTTTGCTTGTCTCATTTATCAAAGTGTATTTAGTTTTTTATTTATATCCAGCTGTTCCCATCGATTTCGTTCTCTTAAAACCGGGTTCAGGCATTTCAAAAACACCAGGAATAAGAACAGACGAACAAAAAAAAAAAAAAAAAACAGATACTTTAAATGTAAACATTTCTTTTTTTTTCTTAAAAAAAAAACATGGCGGACGTTAGAAATCGCATTTATTCTAAAATATCTTCGGTTTATTGAAAAAAAATCATAAAATATATTTTTGATGAAACTGAACTTTAGAGAACGTTTTTGTAAATATCGAATTTATTTATCGATAAAATAACGTCTTAGGTGCCCTAAAATAACACCAATCTTTTTATATATCAAATATAGTCACAACTAGCTTAACTTTTTTCACTAAAAGAAAATTCATCAAAGTTCTCATTTATTTAAGGTTATGAAATGTTTCAAGCAACGCAAACAATAAACAAGAAAAACATTAGGTTAGAGCAATAACTGATTCGGACATTTGTGTTTCCCATTGTTAGCGAAATGTCTAAACGTATCTATTTTATTCACATGATAATTACATGATCAGTGTATTTGAATAAATTAATAAGGAACTAAATGTATTTTGATAATAGAACGAATCACAAGGGACGTTTAAACATTACACAAACTAGGAGAAACACAAATGTTTAAATATGTGGTTTCTCTAAGCTAGTATTATGTTTCTTATTTGAGCTCGTTCCATTCGATTTTTCAGAAATTTTTTAAGTGTATATTAAGATTATTTTAAATTTAATTTTAAATAAACAACTTGAATGACATTTCAACTAATTTAAATTTTTCAAAATATTTCTGAACTATACTTTTTCGATAAACTTCTACTATAGTTACATAGCAAACAGAAATAATTGATTATGAAATAAATTCACTTCACAAAATACCGCAATGTGGGTTCCAGTCACTTGCTTTTAATATCTTTCGTTCTTTCCTACTTCAAGATATACCGAAGTTATATGGATTTGAAATATATATATATATATATATATATATATATATATATATATATATATATATATATATATATATATATATATATATATATATTCTGTTCTATTTATGTACATGTTATAATGAAGATGCACTAACACATATGTGTGAAAACCTTGAAGATATGTAACTTATTTATGCAAGTCGTTCGTATGCAATGGCCATGACAGACGTTAATGTCAGAAGTAGTTTGCTTCGGTAGTTAAATGTATGTTACGTTCACTGAACTAGCCAGTATACAGTTATGATTTGTTTAACCTTTTCACTTATCTGTTTACGATATATCTTTCTATGCATTGAGGAAGTATTTTCCTTGTAACAGGTCCGGTTTGGTATTATTATATATAAATATATGTCTGGAAACAGGATATCAAAACTTGATGATGTTAATACATTATTATGTGTTTGTAATATCAAAGATCTAATTTTAATAATAATCTGGGCCTCAATGAAAAATAAAGAAAAAATTATTGAATCGCCTACAGCTTGATGGCTTTGTACTAACATTTTTTTTTTTAACTCGGAATGCTTTTGAATATTTAAAAAAACTATATACTTTTATTTTATTTTTCACTCAGTACAAGCATATAATGGTTTTTTTCTTAAATCGGTCTAGAGAAGGCAACATACAGTTTGTCTATGGTGAAAAAAATATTTTAAATCAACCCAAATTTAATTAAAAGTTTGTCGAATTTATTTATAGTAGCTGCTAAGTATTTTTAAATGAAGCTATAATTGAAAATTTCCTATTGTTTTTCTGATTGGTTGATTTTTCTTTAAACCTAGTCTCCGTGTTGTCATTTTTCAATATTCAAGTCATTCTACTGATTCTCAAAATATGTCCTTTCAAATAGATTCTGCAACTTTGTCTAAGCATATATATTGAAATATAAAGAAATAGACATTTATCAGTGCACAAAAAATACTATATTTTATTTTGTGTGTAAATAGATGTTTGCTTTTTTTATTGTAATAATTTTTTTAAAAGTGTTTTTGTATTAGCCTTCTCAATTGATTACTTATAGCGTTATTTTTTTTTCTTAATGCAGCTTTCATAAGACCTTGGGCGGTAGAGAAAACCTTAATACCTGGATTTGAAATCTTTTTAAATGTCCTTAATATCTTGAGAGTTTCAACGCTCCGTTGTTTAGCATATTCCATAAATAATAAAGTATATTTTATGGGACTTGATTCGCATTTCTTCGTCTTGTAAATTATAACTAAGTGTGTGTTGATGACATTTCTGTCTCATAACTGCCGAATATATATTTTTTTCAAAGGTCATTTTTAATTTTTGACTGGATTTTGAAACCAAAACAGAGAAGAAAATAAACTTTTTTTTTCATCTTGGGGATGGAACTGGGGAATTTCATGTGGTACTTGCCCTGGATTGAAGGATTTAGACAACATCGAATTTTTAGCAAATTTTATTTTTAGGTTAAATAAAAGATATTTGTTTCTGCTTTTTGAATTGTTTCCACTTTAAGTCTGTCAATGATAACTCGATACATATTTATTTAGAAATATGTTACCTTAAAAAGTATATTTAAATTGCGAAGTGATAACCGAAATGAAAAGACATCAAAATTATGTTTGCCACCTCTGGCAAAAATACTAGTTTCGGATACCTTGACCTAAAGCTAAAATAAAATTCACGAAAGTTACATGTTTTCTCTTGTTTAAAGTATATAAAACCTTTAACCTTGTGGTGAGTAATCGATTGCTAAAAAAGTAAGGAATGATGATAAGACGTTTCGAAACTTTTAAAATAAGTTGTTTTTAGTCAATAAGAATGGCACTGTATATAATTCACAGTTTAATTTTTCTGTATAATGAAAATTTCTGAAAAATATAAATATATTTTATAAAAAGGAAGGAGTAGTGTTTCATCGAAACTCGCTGGACTACACAGTTATACAAAGATAAATACATTGAATTACGTATTTATTGGCAATTCCTTTCAGGTTTTCAGGTTTCTCTGTATTTTAAGGTTTATTTTCTGTCAGAGATCACACGAATTAATAAAATTGTAATTTACTTAAAATATATAAGCTTTGGTGAGATTCCATTGTTCACCTTTCTTTAGTTTGTAGTCATTTTATAAATTATGTAATGACATGAAATCAATTTTATTAATTTTTTTTTTCACTTTTTTTTGTTGCAGTTTCAAGGTATTGCTTTTTATTCATCGATATAATAAATAATATATTTACCCACGAAAAAATATTATCTAAAATATTACAATGAATGTTTCTGATGTTGGTAAGTCGAATTTTTATTGCAAATTTTGATTTTTAACACATGTTTGACGGGAGACAATTAAAGATTATTAAATAATAGAATTATTTTCAGATTTATAATTTTAATTAGCGAATAATATTTATTCAAGAGAAATATATTCAGAAATTTTTGAAAGAAAGTTTCTCAATTCATCGAAGGAATAAGCTATCTTCGTGCTTTCTTCACGAAAGCTCAGAAACAGAAAGAAAAGAAAAAATTAAATGGTATTTTGTATCACACTATTTGATTTAAATACCCGTTTATTTTTTATGCAGTGTGAAGTTTTCGAAAAACAAATATTCTCTCCATGACTAGTCTGGTTAGCGAACTCTTCCTTGTTTCTTTCCG